GTGCGTGCGTGCCCAAGATCCCGAGAGGAGAATGGAGGAGAAGGGATTGTTGCATGGCCATCCCCCCTGGGGGATGATTTCTCACTTTCTGTCTCTCTCTCCCTCTTTCTGGCAAGCGCACGCACCTTATAGCAAAAAAAATAAAACAACTCTCTCAAAAAAAAAAGATGAAAGAAGTAAATAATTATTTTTAAAAGATATTTTAAAATTTAATTTATTATTTTTCAATTTGGCTAGAGAGAGAAAGCAAACAGCCGGGTCCAGGACTTGAACTGCAGTCAGTCATAATGGGAGTCCAGTGCCTTCACCACGCCACCTGCCAGCACCAGCTTATCGATTGATTTATTTCTGTCACTGCTGGAGAGAAACAAAAACAATACAACAGAGACAGTGAGAAAGCGCTCCTGACAGGTGTGTGCGCGGGGATGGTCACTCCACCACCCCTTCTCCTGATCGCTCGCTCCTCTTGGGATTTGGGGCACACAAACACACGGGCCTGGTGTGTTCCTCGAGCCACCTGGCCCAGGGCCTGTATCAATGGTTCATGTGAGATTCAGGACCTTCACGGTGAGGCCACAGGCTGGCCCAGTCTTTTCTTTTTTTCAATTACTTTATTTATTCACTCATTTATTTTCATTTGACTAGGGAGAGGCACAGAGAGAGAGAGAGCATGTGAGAAAGCAAGCCACCAGGTCCTGGACTAGAACCATGGTCAGCTCTGTGGGAGTGTCCAGGACCTTAACTACCATGCCACCTGCTGGTCCCCTAGTCTTTTTTTTTTTTTTTAAATAAGGTTTGTTGGAGGACCAGCAGATGGCACAATCTTCATGTCACTGGACTCCCATGGAGTCTTGGACCCAGAGGCGTAAATCTCATGCCAGGCGCGTGTGCATGCATGCCCAAAATTCTAAGAGGAGAATGGAGAAGGGATTGTGGCATGGCCATTTCCCCACCCAGGGGGTGATTTCTCACTTTCTATCTCTGTTTCTCTGGCAAGCACAGGCGCCCTATAGCAAAAACCCTCTCTCTTTTTTTGTTGAGGTTTTTGCTACAGGGCGCGTGCGCTCGCCAGAAAGACAGAGAGAGACAGAGAGACAGAAAGCGAGAAATCGCCCCCCCAGGGGGGATGGCCACACCGCAATCCCTTCTCCTCCATTCTCCTCTCGGGATCTTGGGCACACACGCACACGCACCCGGCGTGAGTTTAAGCCACCAGGTCCAGGACAAGAACCGTGGTCGACTGCATGAGAGTCCAGCAACGTAGCTATTACGGTAACTGCTGGTCCCCCAAAACCCTCTCTTGAAAAAGATCAATACATAAAGTTTGTTCCTATTGCAGCTTTGCCTTTCACTCGTTACAGGGCGCACGTGCAGAGGGCCCCCTTCCTCCAGCCCTCCAGCACACACGATCCTTGCAGGCCCTCGCCCTGCGTGTTTCAGGCTGACTGGGCCGGGATTCGAACCACAGGTGCCATGTGTGACTGGGTTTCTTTGGAACAGCACGTTATGACTGGGCCACAGAAGAACCAGCCCTGGATTTTATGGTTTATCAATTTTGCCCAAGGGCAAGTGGCCTCCCAGAGACTGGCAGAGGGGAAGCGAGAAAGCAACCTCCACCATGGGACATGACCGTGCCGGTCCTTTCTCCTCCATATCTTCCTCCTTTGGGGCTTTTGGGCACAGATACACACGCATCCAGTATTATTTTCAAGCTGCCGGACCCAAGTCTTGAACCATGTAGTCAGCCATGTGGGATCCAGGCACCTAACCACCACCTGGTCAGGCCACAGACTGATCTACATTTTCCTTCTTGTTTTTCTTTTTGAAAAAAGATTATTTTTTGGGAACCAGCAGGTGGTGTGCTGGTTAAGGCGCTGGACACTCCCACATGGCAGGTCATGGTTCGAGTCCCAGACCTGGTGGCTTGCTTTCTCACTTTCCCTCTCTCTCTCTCTGTTTCCCTGTGTCTCTCTCTGGTCAAATGAAAATAAATGAATGAATAAATAAAATTATTATTTCAGAAAAAGGATTATTTTTAAAAGAATTATTTTATTTAACTGTATTTATTTACTTAGTTAAATTGGACCAGAGAGAGGGACAGAGAGAGAAAGTGAGAAAGCAAGCTGCCACCAGGTCCGGGACTTGAACCACAGTTGGCCACATGGGAGTCCAGTGCCCTTAATCACCACGCCATCTGCTGGTCTCTATACATTTAATTTAATTTATTTATTATTATTCTCCAATTTGACCAGAGAAAGAGAGAGAAAGCAAGCCACCAGGTCTCGACTCGAACCACAGTCACCCATGTGGGAATCTAAGCACCCCAACCACCACCCCTTATTTTATTTTATTTCTTGAAAAAAGGTGTGGAGGCGTCAGCAGGTGGCGTGGTGGTTCAAGGTGCTGGACTCCCACGTGGCCGACTGTGGTTCAAGTCCTGGACCTGGTGGCTGGCTTTCTCGCTTTTCCTGTGTCTGTCTGATCAAACTGGAAAATAATAATAATAATAAAAGTTAAATGAAATAATAAAGAAAAGAATGTGGAAGGGGCGAGACACCCCAAGACTCTGGATGCCAGAAATGCACCCCCCACCAGCCAGGATCCTGGCACACACATATTAGGCCTCAGCACGCTGACCCATACCCTTCCCATACAGCTGGGTCAGCCCTGTCACAGGTGGATAGTCTTTACTGCTGTCGCTGGACTCCCGTGGTTCGAGTCCCGGACCTGGTGGCTTCAACTCACTCCAGGTGCATGTGTGTGTGTGCCCAAGATCCCGAGAGGAGAATGGAGAGGGGATCGCGGTGTGGCCATACCCCCTGGGGGTGGTTTCTCGCTTTCTGTCTCTTTCTGGCGAGCGCAAGTGCACCCTATAGCAAAAATCTCTCACCCCGCCCTCTCCAAATAAAACAGAAAGATGGGGGCAGGGCGGCGGAGGGGGGGAGGGTAGAAAAAAGGAACCCTGGGGAGATCACAATTAAAGTTAAATAGCATTTGTCCCCAGGTTGGCTGATGGCAAGACTGCCTGGCACCGCCAGGTTCCAGGACGTAGAGGAGCATCCTGGGACTCGCTCCTGGTGAGCGAACAGCACTGCACCCCCCGCACCAACTCAAGGAGCAAAAAGAGAATTCACAGCGAGTACGAGGCGCGGGCGCCACCTTGTGGTGCTAGTAAGTAACTACAGGGTCCCTTTCCCAGGAGAAGCCGCGAAAGGGGGGTGTGACCACGGGAGGACAGAGCACACCAGACACATTCTCGTCTGTCCCTAATACTTTATTGGTCACGTCTAGGTCTGTGCCCAGCTGGGTGGGCTCTGGGGAGGGTTTTGCTATTCATTAGCTCCCAGGTGGGAGCAGGAGAAGGCCTTGGCCTGGCCCTCCAGGGACCAGGGAGGTTGGAGGAGGGGCAGGTGCAGCCCTTCCTAGGCCAGCTGGGGGACCCAAGCCTCAGCACTCTCTCCGTATGCCGGCCTAGTTGTGTTTGGAGAAGTACTCCTTGCTGTCATCCACGTTGGGCTTGATCGTGTCGCTGCCGGGCTCCCAGCCAGCGGGACACACTGCGGAGAGACAGACAGATTTACATGTGAGACCTCGGCCCCGTGTTCACGGCGAGGGGACAAACAGAACCCAAGTCAGAGGCCGAGTGACAGAACAGGCTGGAGACCAGTGGTGCAGGCGGAAGAACAGGTACTGAAGAAGCCCTTGGGGGTCTGGCAGGTGGTGTGGTGGCAAAGGGCGCTGGCTGGACTGGCTGACGGGTATCTTTCCCAACTGTGGTTCGAGTCCCAGACCTGGCAGCTTGCTTTCTCACTTCCTCTCTCTCTCTCTCTTCCTCACTCTCTGGTCAAATTAAAACTAATGAACTAACTAGGGCCAGCAGGTGGTGTGGTGGTGAAGGCGCTGGACTCGCACATGGTCGACCACGGTTTGAGTCCCAGAGCTGGCGACCAGCTTTCTCACTTCTCTCTCTCTCATTCTGTCCTTCTCTAGTCAAATTCAAGTTAAATGAAATAATTCTAAAAATAATAGTAATAATTTAAAAAAAGGGAGTGAACCTAAGAGTCAGCGTTTTATTTTACTTTTATTTTTTTAAATAATTATTTTATTTTATTAATTCATTCACTTATTTTTTAATTTGACCAGAGACAGAGGGTGAGAGTGAGAGAGAGAGAAAGTGAGAAAG